TGCACTCCTGTGAAAATTGTCCTCACTTGACTAACTGTATGAGTCAATCACTTTTTGGGCCTTATTAACAACTCTATAAGCACTAGTTCCTGGGTTAAGCGTGTCCGGTTTATGGATGGCCCATAGTTAAGAACGGAACCTACTGTAGCAAAATTGGAGTTAAATACACAATGGTTCGAGTTTCATTACACAATACTACCTATTCAGTATTATATAATAATACTCTTCCAGCTTACATACAAATTCGACTTAAGGACAGACCTTGGGAACGGAACTCATTCTTAAACCGGGAACTACCTGTATTCACTGTTTTCTTATTTAGAATCTGTAAACAATTGAGCATGAATGGCAGGTATGCATTCAAACTTGCAGAAAACTGTTGGGCTAAACTTTGTACATCGTAGAGGTTATGTCAGCTTCTGTTCCCTTAGGGATTAAAGGTGCCTAAACTTTTGCATGCAACTGGGACTATCTAAGGACAGGACATTTGTTGCCAAGTCCTGTTTCACATCTGCTGTGAAGATGCTAGCAGCACAGCTACCAAAATCTCAGCACATACTGCCTCGCACACATTAGCTGGAAAACATTTCATTTCACACCAGTTAACTGCTGCTGTGAAAAATTACTGAAAAATATTGTGCCTAATTTAGTAAGGTTCAGTAAGCTTTGCTTTGAGGTCTCACTTTTAGCTGCCTGGCACCAGAATTGGAAGCAATGCTCTAAAGTGGTGTTTTTCAAACTCAGCAACTTTAAGACATGTGGACTTCAACTCCCAGAATTCTCCAGCCAGCATGCTGACTGGGGAATTCTGGGAGTTGAAGTCCACCATCTTACAGTTGCCGAGTTTGAAAAACACTGCTCTAAGGCACAGCAGCCAAGAATAAGTTAAATGGGGCAACTAATGATGTTCTCCTACTAGAAGAATTGCATCAAACTATTCCATTGTTGGAATATGGTATGACATGATCGTTTTATGACGTCAACCGGGCTTTTGTCATCAGCGGGCTGC